ATAAGTAAATAATTGAAGGCAAAATATTAATTTGACATTTTTAATTACCTCAACATGACTCTCAGTACCCGCTTGAGCACTCCGTTATCAGTTGTAGCAGTTGTGGTTGTATCAACAACAGACCACTAGATGAGGAAATGTAGAAATATAAATGAACGATGCATGGCTCTGCTCTAAGCATGTAAGTTACAAGTTTATGAAAGGACTTCCAGATCCAGGTAAACGTAAAGCAGATTACGAATATACTTAAAATTCACAAATACTAAAACAGCTTGATGTGGACCCTTTAACCAACCCTTAAACCTACCCATACCACCAAACATGTCCCTAACCTTACCCGTATCACACCTCAATAGTAGCAAAAGTGTTTTGCATTAACAAAAGCTTTTAATCGTTTTATAGCATCTGTTAAAATCATTTGTAGATTTTCAATAAGTGCTTGATCATATGGAATTGAAAGTTTAATGACATTTGTAAGCATTTTAACTTATCTAATGTTTAATAAGTTTAACAAACATTAACAAGCACTATCTCGCGTTTCTAACTCTTTGTGTGTGTGTGTGTGTATATATGTGTATGTATATATGTGTATGTATGTATGGTATGGTATGTATGGTATGTATGGTATGTATGTATGTAATGAGCCATTAAGCGTTATATGTTTGTTAATGATTTATTAATGAAAGTTATTATAAAGTGTTACAGCTTCACAAAGTCATTTCATCCACACAGTATCATTACTTCTGTGTCAAACATTAAAATAAGCACAAGTGTGGGGATAAAGGTTTGTAGTTTGGATATAAACACTGTGTACAGTAGCGATCAAAATAAAGTAAATCTCCCTTTGAAATTAATTTGATGCTTCAAATAAAGATTTATCGATTACATTATGCCAGTAGGTGGCGAAAAGGGGCTGTTAAAATTTATTTGTCTTTGTATCATTCATTCAGGAGATTGATTCAAAAACACTGATTCATCCAGTAATGAAACAAGTAAATCTTGAGTGAGTCATTGAATCTTTCATTCATAAGTTAAATGTGATTTATTTTAGTAGGTTTTTTTTTGTTTTTTTCTTCAGAATCGAGAGAACCACGACCTCCATTAAAAACAAAATCTCAATTTAGCTCTTAAACAAGCCCTTTTTTTTATGTAGCCTGCTGATTTTTGTTCATAGTATTCAGCTGCAACTAAATGTTTTGCAAAAAGACACTTCATTTTGTTTTGTTTTTTAACCACATTGGAATCAAAACTGGGAATCGATAAGAATCGGATTTGAGCAGCGGTTATCAATTGGAATTGATAATTCAAACTAAACCCAACCATAACCATATAATCAAAACCAAGCAGATGTTTTGTTTTAGCGGAGTATCCAATGCGCAAGCTGTTAAAGGCACAACCCACTTCTGGAAAATGGGTGGGGAGCAGCAGCTCATTTGCATTTAAAGATACATGCACGAAGACATCATGATTTTGCTTTTCTTAAAAAGTTTAAATTTTTAGCATGGTATAATGATGTGTGGGGTTTTCTAATCTGAAACTTCTTAATCCACTATGTCAGTGGATCCCAAACTGGAGGGTGCTGAGCTATGACAAGGGGGGCACGGCAAGGCTGAGGGATAGTGTACAGTCAGTAGATTATTTTGCAAAAGAATCCTCTGCAGGGTGATAGACTACACTGTGTAATTTTCCCACTTATCATACGGCCACTTGCCTGATAAGTAAATAATTGAAGGCAAAATATTAATTTGACATTTTTAATTACCTCAACATGACTCTCAGTACCCGCTTGAGCACTCCGTTATCAGTTGTAGCAGTTGTGGTTGTATCAACAACAGACCACTAGATGAGGAAATGTAGAAATATAAATGAACGATGCATGGCTCTGCTCTAAGCATGTAAGTTACAAGTTTATGAAAGGACTTCCAGATCCAGGTAAACGTAAAGCAGATTACGAATATACTTAAAATTCACAAATACTAAAACAGCTTGATGTGACAAAAGCAAATAGAACCCAGTGATGTTCTCTGCTGTGGATGTGGTGCGATGCGACATGACAAATCCATGACTGTAAACTGATGCCCTGTTCGGTTTCTGACGAACTCCAGCACTTTGACACAAAGGACAATTTCAAATATTCATACATTGTGAAAAAATAGTTTCCTCAAATATGCAGCACAACTGTTTTCAGCATTAAAATAATCAGAAATGGTTACTGACAGCAAATCAGCATATTATAATGATTTCTGAAGAATCATGTGACACTGAAGACTGGCGTAATAATGCTGAAAATTCAGCTTTGATCACAGGAATACAGTAGCCTATATGTTAAAACATTCAAATAAATATTTTAAATTGACTATTTCACAATATTAGTGTTTATTCTATTTTAAATAAATGTAGCCTTGGTGAGCATAAGAGACTTAAAAGGGGGTGTGGGGGGTGGTCTTGAAAATGGAACCACTGCACTATAGTTAATTTGTTACTTAATTTTCCTAATGAATTAGTTTCATGCAGAATTCAGTGTGTATAGGTATGTTTGAGCTGTTTTAAGTAAGTTTACAAAACATATGAATCATAGTTGTTTGGTGGTGGGAAAAAATTAAATGCAATCTGCGGTGACGTCGCAATCGTGTTGCATTGTGGTATATAGAGCAGCCTGAAGTGTACATATGAAGCAGACTTGTCTGTACATATAAACTTCTCTCGTCCACTTCACAAAGTGGTGCACACTTCAAAATGGCAGTGGGGATTCCCCCGAGGAGAAGTGCCTAGGGAAGTTTGCGAGTGCCCGTCTAAAAGTGAAGTGGAACGCAGCCATGGGGTGCAGCTAGGGGGTTAACTTTTGCACTCTTCTACCTGCTTCTTTAGATATGTGAATATCAGTTATTGTGTTGAAATTAATACAAAGCTGAAGAGAATGTGTAGTGAAAGTTGGATGTTTTGTGTCTGGACGTAAATATGCCAGAAGTTTTCTGTGTATAGTGTGCTAACTAGTCAGATGTTTTTTTTAATATTTTTTTTTATTAATAGTTGATTGTATTGATTTAGTTGTTGCAGCTCTTGAGCTAGTAAATTGGTTCAGAATCAGACCCTATCGCAAATGTATGTAATATGAATTATGAATTCGACCTCTTGCCATCAGGAGTTAAAACACTTTCACATGCAATTGATGGGCATAATTTCCTATGCAAAGATGTTAGTCAACATTATGGGGTTTGCATGTATTGTCATTTTAAATACACAGTTAAAGACTGTTATTAAATGTTGTGCACAGGTAATACTCTTCACACATTTAAATGATGCTGTGAATGACACTGTGGTCTAGGCATGGGCCGATTACCGGTTTCAAGGTATACTGCGATCTAAAATATCACAGTTTCAAAACCACTAATATTTTCCGTTATACCATTCCTGCGGTATGCTCTGTTTTTCATGTCTCCTCAAAGTCTTATTGCAGCTTGTCTCTGTTCTGGACTTGCACAAAATGCGTTGCAATGCAATCATTTTCCAAAATGTAATTTGTGAAAATATGAAGTCTGTAAACGCCGTGATATTTTTGCTTAAGGTTATCATACGGTCAAAATCTCATACCGGCCCATGCCTACTGTGGTCTCTGTGTGCATGTAGGCCTACGTTTATTTGTCCACACACAAAGCACACAGTGGATAATCAGTTTCTCAATGCACCTGCTTTTGACAATTTGGTGTATTCCCTGCCACCAGAACAAAAGTGAAACTGTCTGTTTAATCTCTCAGACTCTAGGCAGAAGGATGTACTACTCTGTAAGGGTACTTTACTTTGATCGCCTTCTAATGAGGAATTTATCCGGCACTGCGACCTGTCACGCTGCTGCCTTGCCACATGATGTACCTTCTACAAGAGAATCACCCGAAGTTATCTGTGGAAAGCCATATGTGATTGTAAAATTACCAGCCAAGAAGATTATAAATGTTAAAGTTTTGGGTCAGTACTTGTTGATGTGTTATTCCAATAATTTTGGACTATCGCAGTTTGATTCTATATTCATTAATTTAGAATATTGAATTTAGTCAATATGTATGCATAACATTTGTTAATGAATGGAAGTAACTTGCATAATAATGCAAATAACAAATGTAAACTTGGTAATTGTTTTGAAAAATATTTACAACCAGTAAAAAGGTGCTTCCTATCTACTTCGGTTTTCTCAAGATATGTCCATGCAGTTGCCTCGTCCAGTCCTTTGGAAAAGTCACCATACTGTGTTTGTCAAATTGGAACACTCAACAATCAAGGTATGACCCTGTAAAATCCAGTTTTGCAATTCTTCAAGCTTTTGTTGTCTCTACTTAGATTGTGTAATCGAATGATTTTGCCACCTCTCTAAAGGATGGAATGCTCCAGGTGGATTATCTTGATGTGACTGGTAAAACAAGGACAATCACAGGGTCCTGTGTTCAACAGACATTTAAAAATGCCATTAGAAAACGAAGACAAGACCCATTCGATTTTATTTGGGAATATGATCCAATACCGACAGTTCCCTTTAAACCAGAGTGGGCAACAATCACTGCCCCCTTACACACTGTCATCCGCACTGGAATCTCTCCTCCTTCAGAGTCCGGTGTTCCTAGTATTGTCACTACTGGACCATTTGATGTTCCACCTGATTCCACAGTAGATGACGGTCTAGAAGCGTCACTAAGCACAGACAGGCAGCCAGTCAGAATCACCAAAACTGCAACTGCTACTATTGATGTTAATGTAGAGCTTGGGTTGGATTTTGGTCTTTCAGATTTTGACGTCAAACCCACTGTTCCTTGTGGGGAGTTTGAAGAAACCCCTATAATGACCCAAAGGATACTTCCATCCAGCACACCTAAATATCCAGACCCCACTACATGGACAAACATGCAACCCTTTAGGCCAGCTGAGATAACTCTTGATAGAACCCAGAAAGTAGAAGCCTCAAGTGCTGCTACACAGCCAAGCAGAATCACCAAAACTGCACCTACTGTTGTTCATGCTGATGGAGAGTTTTGGATAGATTTTGGTCTTTCAGATTTTGACGTCAAACCCACTGTTCCATGTGGGGAGTTGGAAGAAAACCCTAAAACGACCCAAAGGATGCTTCCATCCAGCACACCTACACATCCAGACCCCGCTACATGGACAAACACCGTTACATTCAGGCCACTTGATATAACACTTGGTACAACCGAAAAAGCAGAAGCCTCCAGTGTGTCTGCACAACCAGGAAGAATCACCAAAACTACAACTTCTGCTGCTGCTGATATAGAGTTTGGGACAGATTTTGACCTTTCAGACTTTGATGTCATACCCACTCTTCCTCGTGGAGAATTCGAAGAAACCCCTAAAACGACCCCAAGGATACTTCTATCTAACTCTCCTTCATATCCAGACCCCACAACAAGGACAAAAACAGTTCCCTTCAGGCCAGCTGATATAACTCTTGGTACAACCATAAAAGTAGAAGCCTCCAGTGTGTCTACACAACCAGACAGAATCACCAAAACTACAGCTGCTGCTGATGTAGAGTTTGGGACAGACTTTGACCTTTCAGACTTTGATGTCTTGCCCACTCTTCCTTGTGGGGAATTTGAAGAAACCCGTAAAACGACCCCAAGGATATTTCCATCCAGCACACCTTCATATCCAGACTCCACAACAAGGACAAACACAGTTCCCTTCAGGCCAGCTGATATAACTCTTGGTACAACCATAAAAGTAGAAGCCTCCAGTGTGTCTACACAACCAGGCAGAATCACCAAAACTACAACTCCTGCTGTTGCTGATGTAGAGTTTGGGACAGATTTTGATCTTTCAGACTTTGATGCCATACCCACTATTCCTTGTGAGGAATTTGAAGAAATTCCTGAAACAACCCAAAGAACACTTTCATCAAGCACTCCCACACATACAGAACATACTACATTGAATAGCACAATAGTTTACTTTGATATACCATTGACTTCTTTGAGTTCTGCAGAAACAACACCCTCTGTTAGTTCAACAGGAATAGTTTTGGAAACATCCAGACCAGGAATGACAACTGCTGGAACAACTACCGCTTCAGCACAAACTACTAGTCTTGGCACCACTTCTGTTGAAATTACTACCCTGGGAACCACTTCTGAAGAAATTACTACCTTGGATACCACTTCTGCAGAAACTGCTACCCTTGGAACCACTTCTGCAGAAACTACTACTCTTGGCACCACTTCAGTGGAAAGTTCTTCCATGGACACAACTTTTCCAGAACCTACTACCCTGGGCTCCATTTCTGTTGAAGTGACAACTTCTGTTAGTTCAACAGGTCTAGAATTGGAAACAACCACATTTGAAATAACAGCTAAAACAACCTCAGCTATAACGACGCCTGGCTTAGCATCTGCTTTTGAAACTACAATGGCTCAAACTACCACTTCCCAAATTATTACTCTTGGCACCACGTCTATAGAAGCTACTACCCTGGGAACCACTTCTGCAGGAATCACTTCTGCAGAAACGACTACCTTTGGCACAACTTCTGCAGAAACTACTACCCTGGGCACCCCATCTGTAGAAATTACAAACCTGGGCACAACTTCTGTAAAAACTACTACCCTGGGAACCACTTCTGCAGAAGCTGATACACTTGGCACCTACTCTGTAGAATTTACAACTCTGGGTACCGATTCTGCAGAAACCAGTACCCTTGCAATCACTACTGCAGGGCCCACTTCTGCAGAAACTACTACCCTTGGCAACACTTTGGAAGAAACCAGCACCCTTGGCATCACTACTGTAGAAACTACTACCCTAGGTACCACTTCTGCAGAAACCGCTACACTTGGCACCACTTCTGTAGAAACTACTGCCCTTCGAACCACTTCTGCAGAAATTACTCCCCTTGGAACAACTTCTGAAGAAACTTCTACCATTGGCACTACTTCTGTAGAATCTACAACTCTGGGCACCACTTCTGCAGAAACTACAGATTTGGTCACTTTAACGGATCTGGTATTGGAAACAACCACATTTGAAGTGACAACTGCTAAATCACACTCTGCAATAACTATGCCTGGCTTAACATCTGCAGTAGAAACCACAATGGCACAAACTTCCACTTCTGTAGAAACTTCTACCCTTGGTACCACGTCTATTCAAATTACTACCCTGGGAACCACTTCTGCAGGACCCACTTCTGAAAAAACTACTACCCTTAGAACAACTTCTGTTGAATCTATGACTCTGGACACCACTTCTGCAGAAACTGCTACCCTTGGCACCACTTCTGTAGAATCTACCACTCTGGAGACCACTTCTGCAGAAATTACTATCCTGGGTACAACTGCTGCAGAAATTTCTACATTTGGCACCACTTCTGTAGAATCTACCACTCTGGAGACCACTTCTGCAGAAATTACTATCCTGGGTACAACTGCTGCAGAAATTTCTACATTTGGCACCACTTCTGTAGAATCTACCACTCTGGAGACCACTTCTGCAGAAATTACTATCCTGGGTACAACTGCTGCAGAAATTTCTACATTTGGCACCACTTCTGTAGAATCTACCACTCTGGAGACCACTTCTGCAGAAATTACTACCCTGGGCACAACTGCTGCAGAAATTACTACCCTTGGCACCACTTCTGCAAAAGCTACTACCCTTGGCACCTTTTCTGTAGAAAGTACTACACTGGGAACCACTTCTGCAGAATCTATTACCCTTGGTTCCACTTCTGTAAAAACTACTACCTTGGAAACCACATCTGCAGGACCCACTTCCTCAGAAACTATTACCCTTGGCACCACTTCTGCAGAAACTAGTAACCTTGGCACCACATTTGTAGAAACTACTACCCTGGGCATAACTTCTACAGAAACTAGTACCCTTGGAACCACTTCTGTGGAAACTACTACACTGGAAACCACTTTGGCAGAAACTAGTACCCTTGGAACCACTTCAGCTGAAACTACTACCCTGGAAACCAGATCTGCATCACCCACTTCTGCAGAAGCTAATACCCTTGGCACTTTTTCTGTAGAATCTACAACTCTGGGCACCACTACTGTAGAAACTAGTACACTTGGCACGGCATCTGTGGAAACTACTACCCCGGGCACAACTTTTGCAGAAACTACTACCCTTGGCACCTCTTCTGTAGAAACTAGTACCCTTGGCATGACATCAGTAGAAACTAGTACCCTTGGCACCACTTCTGTAGAAACCAGTACCCTGGGCATAACCTCTGCAGAAACTAGTACCCTTGCCACCGCTTCTGTAGAAAGCACTACCCTGGGAACCACTTCTGCAGAAGCTAGTACATTTGGCACCACTTCTGTAGAATCTACCACTTTGGGCCCCACTTCTAAAGGACTCACTTCTGCAGAAACTACTTCCCTTGACACCTCTTCTGTAGAAAGTACTACACTAGGAACCACTTCTGTAGAAACTACTACCCTGGGCACAACTTCTGCAAAGACTACTACCCTTGGAACCTCTTCTGTAGAAAGTACTACCCTGGGAACCACTTCTGCAGAAGCTAGTACATTTGGCACCACTTATATAGAATCTACCACTCTGGGCCCCACTTCTACAGGACCCACTTCTGTAGAAACTACTACCCTGAAACCCACATCTGCAGGACCCACTTCTGCAGAAGCTACAACTCTGGGCACCACTTCTGTAGAAATGAATACCCTGACCACAACTTTGATAGAAACTACTACCCTGGGCACAGTTTCTACAGAAACTAGTACCTTTATAACGACTTCTGTAGAAACTACTACCCTGGAAACCACTTCTGCAGGACCCACATTTGCAGAAATTACTCCCCTTGGTACCACTTCTTTTGAATCAACAACTCTGGGCACCAATTATGTGGAAACTAGTGTCTCTGGCACCACTTCTGTAGAATCTACGACTTTGGGCACCACTTCTACAGAACCCACTTCTGCAGAAACTGCTACCCTTGGCACCATTTCTGCAGAAACTACTACCCTTGGCACCCCTTCTGTAGAAACTACTACTCTGGAAACCACTTCTGCAGCACCCACTTCTGCAGAAGCTACAACTCTGGGCACCACTTCTGCAGAAACAACTACCCTTGGCACCACTTCTGTAGAATCTACAACTCTGGGCACCACTTCTGCAGAAACTAGTACCCTTGGCACACCTTTTGTAGAAAATACTACCCTGGAATCCACTTTTGCACAATCCACTTCTACAGAAACTACTACCCTGGGTTCAACTTTTGCAGAAACTAGTACCTTTGGCACCACTTCTGAAGAAACAACGACACTTGAAACCACTTTTGCAGGACCCACTTCTACAGAAATTGCTGCCCTTGAGACCCCTTCTGTAGAAACTACTACCCTGGACAAAACTGCAGAAACTAGTACCCTTGGCACACCTTCTGTAGGAACTATTGCCCCTGAAACCACTTCTGCAGAAACTATTACCATTGGCACCACTTTTGCAGAAATTACTACCCTGGACACAACTTCTGCAGAAACTAGTACCCTTGGCACCACTTTTGTAGAAACTAGTACCATGGGCACAACTTTTGCAGAAACTACTACCGTTGGCACTACTTCTATAGAAACTACAACCCTGGAAACCCCTTCTGCAGCACCCACTTCTGTAGAAACTACTACCCTGGAAAGCATTTCTGTAGAAACTACTAACCTTGGCACCACTTCTTTAGAAACTACTATCCTGGAAACCACATATACAGGACCCACTTCTGCAGAAACTAGTACCCTTGGCACCACTTCTGTAGAAACTACTACCCTGGAAACCACTTCTGCAGAAACTAGTACCCTTGGCACACTTTCTGTAGAAACTACTGCCCCTGAAACCACTTCTGCAGAAACTATTACCATTGTCACCACTTTTGCAGAAATTACTATCCTGGGGACAACTTCTGCAGAAACTAGTACCCTTGGCACACCTTTTGTAGAAAATACTACCCTGGAATCCACTTTTGCACAATCCACTTCTACAGAAACTACTACCCTGGGTTCAACTTTTGCAGAAACTAGTACCTTTGGCACCACTTCTGAAGAAACAACGACACTTGAAACCACTTTTGCAGGACCCACTTCTACAGAAATTGCTGCCCTTGAGACCCCTTCTGTAGAAACTACTACCCTGGACAAAACTTCTGCAGAAACTACTACCCTTGGCATCACTTTTGTAGGAACTACTACTCTTGAAACCACTTCTGTAGAAACTAATACGCTGGGCATGACTTCTGCAGAAACTAGTACCCTTGGCACACCTTCCGTAGGAACTATTGGCCCTGAAACCACTTCTGCAGAAACTATTACCATTGGCACCACTTTTGCAGAAATGACTACCCTGTGGTCAACTTCTGCAGAGACTAGTACCCTTGGAACCTTACCTTCTACCCTTGTCACCACTTTTGCAGAAATTACTATCCTGGGGACAACTTCTGCAGAAACTAGTACCCTTGGAACCACTTCTGCAGGACCTACTTCTGCAGAAACTACTACCCTTGGCACCACTTTTGTAGAAACTAGTACCATGGGCACAACTTATGCAGAAACTACTACCGTTGGCACTACTTCTATAGAAACTACAACCCTGGAAACTACTTCTGCAGCACCCACTTCTGTAGAAACTACTACCCTGGAAACCACTTCTGCAGAATCTAGTACATCTGGCACCACTTCTGTTGAATCTACCATTCTGGGCACCACTAATGCAGAATTTAGTACCTCTGGCACCACTTCTGTTGAACCTACCACTCTGGGTACCACTAATGCAGAATCTAGTACCCTTGGCACCAATTTTGAAGAAACGTTTACCCTGGAAACCATTTCTGCAGTACCCACTTCGGCAGAAACTACTACCCTTGGCACCACCTCTGTTGAATTTACCACTCTGGGAACCACTTCTGCAGAATCTAGTACCCTTGGCAGCACTTCTGTAGAAACTGCTACTCTGGGCGCAACTTCTATAGAAACTACAACCCTGGAAACCACATCTACAGCACCCACTTCTGCAGAAACTACTACCCTTGGCACCACTTCTGTAGAAACTAGTACCCTGGGCACAACTTTTACAGAAACTAGTACCTCTGGCACCACTTCTGCAGAGACTACTACCCTGGGCACAACTTCTGCAGAAACTAGTACCTCTGGCACCACTTCTGCAGAGACTACTATACTGGGCACCACTACTGCAGAGACTGCTACCCTTGGCACCACTTCTGCAGAGACTGCTACGCTTGGCACCACTTCTGCAGAGACTACTACTCTTGGCACCACTTCTGCAGAGACGACTACCCTTAGCACCAGTTCTGTAGAAAATACTTCCCGGGAAACCACTTCTGCAGGACCCACTTCTGCAGAAACTAGTACGCTTGGAACCACTTCTGCAGAAACTACTACCCTTAGCACCACTTCTGTAGAAACTACTACCCTGGGCACAACTTCTGTAGAAACTACAACCCTGGAAAGCACTTCGGCAGAAACTACTACCCTTGGCAACACTTCTGTAGAAACTACTACCCTGGAAGCCACTTCTGCAGAAACTACTACCCTGGGTACAACTTCTGCAGAAACTAGTACCGTTGGAACCACTTCCGTAGAAACTACTACCCTGGAAACCACTTCTTCAGAAACTACCATCATTGGCACCACTTCTGTAGAACCTACTACCCTGGAAGCCACTTCTGCAGAAACTACTACCCTGGGTACAACTTCTGCAGAAACTAGTACCGTTGGAACCACTTCCGTAGAAACTACTACCCTGGAAACCACTTCTGCAGGACCCACTTCTGTGGAAACTACTACCCTGGAAACCACTTCTGCAGGACCCACTTTTACAGAAACTACTATCCTTGGCACTACTTCTGTAGAACCTACAACTCTGGGCACCACTTCTGCAGAAACAACTACCCTTGGCACCACATCTGTAGAAATTACTACTACCCTGGAAACCACTTCTGCAGGACCCACTTTTACAGAAACTACTATCCTTGGCACTGGACCCACTTTTACAGAAACTATCCTTGGCACCACTTCTGTAGAATCTACAACTCTGGGCACCGCTTCTGCAGAAACAACTACCCTTGGCACCACTTCTTTAGAAACTACTAGCCTGGGCGTAACTAATGCAGAAACTAGTCCCTTTGACACCACTTCTGAAGAAACAATGACACTTGAAACCACTTTTGCAGGACTCCCTTCTGCAGAAATTGCTGCCCTTAAAACCCCTTCTGTAGAAATGACTACACTGGACAAAACTTCTGCAGAAACTACTACCCTTGGCATCACTTTTGTAGGAACTACTTCTCTTGAAACCACTATTGTAGAAACTAATATCTTGGGCATGACTTCTGCAGAAACTAGTACCCTTGGCACGCCTTCTGTAGAAACTACTGCCCCTGAAACCACTTCTGCAGAAACTATTACCATTGGCACCACTTTTGCAGAAATGACTACCCTGTGGTCAACTTCTGCAGAGACTAGTACCCTTGGAACCACTTCTGCAGGACCTACTTCTGTAGAAACTACTACCCTTGGCACCACTTTTGTAGAAACTACTACCATTGGCACTACTTCTGTAGAAACTACTACCCTGGAAACCACTTCTGCAGCACCCACTTCTGCAGAATCTACTACCCTTGGCACCACTTCTTTAGAAAGTACTACCCTGGAAACCACTTTTGCAACACTCATTTCTGCAGAAACGACTACCCTTAGAACCACTTTTGTAGCCTGGAAAGCATTTCTGTAGAAACTACTACCCTTGGCACCACTTTTGTAGAAACTACTACCCTGGAAACCACTTCTGCAATGCCCACTTCTGCAAAAACTACTAACCTTGGCACCACTTCTTTAGAAACTACTATCCTGGAAACCACATATACAGGACCCACTTCTGCAGAAACTACTACCCTTGGCACCACTTTTGTAGAAGCTACTACCCTGGAAACCACTTCTGCAGTACCCACTTCTGCAGAATCTACTACACTTTTTGCCACTTCTATTGAATTTACCACTCTGGACACCACTTCTGCTGAAACTAGTACCCTTGGCACCACTTTTGTAGAAAGTATTACCCTGAAAACCACTTCTGCAGAGACTAGTACCCTTGAGTCCACTTCTGTAGAAACTATATCGAAACTACAACCCTGGAAACCACATCTGCAGCCCGCATTTCTGCAGAAACTACTACCCTTGGCACCACTTCTGTAGAAACTACTATCCTGGAAAACACTTCTGTAGAAACTACTACCCTGGAAACCACTTCTGTAGAAACTACTACCCTGGAAACCACTTCTCTAGAAACTACAACCCTGGAAACCACTTCTGTAGAAACTACAACCCTGTTAGCCACTTCTGTAGAAAATAGTACCCTTGGCACCACTTCTGTAGAAACTACTATCCTGGAAACCACTAATGCAGTGCCCACTTCTCCAGAAACCTCTGGCCTTGGCATCACTTCTGTAGACACTACTACTCTGGGCACTACTTCTATAGAAACTACAATCCTGGAAACCACTTCTGTAGCTCGCACTTCTGCAGAAACTACTACCCTTGAAACCACTTCTGTAGAAACTACTACTCTGGAAGCCACTTCTACAGTACCCACTCCTGCAGAAACTACTACCCTTGGCACCACTTCTGTAGAAACTACTATCCTGGAAACCACACATGCAGGACCCACTTCTGCAGAAACTAGTACCCTTGGCACCACTTTTGTAGAAGCTACTACCCTGCATACCACTTCTGCAGTACCCACTTCTGCAGAAACTAGTACGCTTTTTGCCACTTCTATTGAATCTTCCACTCTGGACACATCTTCTGCTGAAACTAGTACCCTTGGCACCACTTCTGCAGAAACTACTACCCCGGGCACAACTTCTGCAGAAACTACTACCCTTGCAACCTCTTCTGTAGAAAGTACTACCCTGGGAACCACTTTTGCAGAAGCTAGTACATTTGGCACCACTACTGTAGAATCTACCACTCTGGAGACTCCTTCTGCTGGACCCACTTCTTCAGAAACTACTACCCTTGGGACAACATCTGTAGAAACTACTACCCTGGAAACCACTTCTGCAGGACCCACTTTTACAGAAACTACTATCCTTGGCACCACTTTTGTAGAATCTACAACTCTGGGTACCACTTCTGCAGAAACAACTACCCTTGGCACCACTTCTGTAGAAACTACTAGTCTGGGCATAACTAATGCAGAAACTAGTACCCTTGGCACCACTTCCGTAGAAACTACTATCCTGGAAACCACATCTGCTGGACTAATTTCTGCAGAAACGACTACCCTTGGCACCATTTCTGTAGAAACTACTACCCTGGGCACAACTTCTATCGAAACTACAACCCTGGAAACCACATCTGCAGCCCGCATTTCTGCAGAAACTACTACCCTTGGCACCACTTATTTAGAAACTAGTACCCTGGGCACAACTTCTGCAGAAACTACTACCGTTGGCACTACTTCTGTAGAGACTACAAACCTGGAAACCACATCATCTGTAGCACCCACTTCTGCAGAAACTATTACCCTGGGCACAACTTCTATAGAAACTACTACTCTGAGCACAACTTCTATAGAAAATACTACCATGGACACAACTTCTGTAGAAACTACAACCATGGAAACCACTTCTGCAGTGCCCACTGCTGCAGAAACCACTGCCCATGGCATCACTTCTGTAGAAACTACTACTCTGGGAACTACTATAGAAACTACAAACTTGGAAACCACTTCTGCGGCACTCACTTCTGCAGAAACTACTACCCTTGAAGCCACTTCTGTAGAAACTACTACCCTGGAAAGCACTTCTGCAGGAACTAGTACCCTTGGCACCACTTCTGTAGAAACTACTACCCTGAAAACCACTTCTGCAGTATCCACTTCTGCAGAAACCACTAACCTTGGCACCACTTCTGTAGAAACTACTACCCTGAAAACCACTTCACCACTTCTGCACAGACTACTACCTTTGGCAACACTTCTGCACAGACTACTACCCTTGGCACCACTTCTGCACAGACTAGTACCTCTGTCAATACTTCTGCAGAGTCTATTACCCTTGGCACCACTTCTGCAGAGACTACTACCCTTGGCACCACTTCTGCACAGACTACTACCCTTGGCACCACTTCTGTAGAGACTACTACGCTTGGCACCGCTTCTGCAGATACGACTACCGTTGGCTCTGCTTCTGCAGAGACGACTACCCTTGGCTCTGCTTATGTTAAACCTACATCTCTGGGCACCACTTCTGCAGAATCTTCTACCCTTGGCACCAATTCTGCAGAAACTAGTACCCTTGGCACCACTTCTGCAGGACCCACTTCTGCAGAAACTAGTACCCTTGGAACCACTTCTGCAGAAACCACTACCCTGGGCACAACTTCTATAGAAACTACAACCCTGGAAACCACTTCTGCAGTGCCCACTGCTGCAGAAACCACTGCCAATGGCATCACATCTGTAGAAACTACTAATCTGGGCACTACTATAGAAACTACAAACTTGGAAACCACTTCTGCAGCACTCACTTCTGCAGAAAATACTACCCTTGAAGCCACTTCTGTAGAAACTACTATCCTGGAAGCCACTTCTACAGTACCCACCTCTGTAGAAACTACTACCCTGGAAAGCACTTCTGCAGGAACTAGTACCCTTGGCACCACTTTTGTAGAAACTACTACCCTGGAAACCACTTCTGCAATGCCCACTTCTGCAAAAACTACTAACCTTGGCACCACTTCTTTAGAAACTACTATCCTGGAAACCACATATACAGGACCCACTTCTGCAGAAACTAGTACCCTTGGCACCACTTTTGTAGAAACTACTACCCTGGAAACCACTTCTGCAGTGCCCACTTCTGCAGAAACTACTACCCTTGGCACCACTTTTGTAGAAGCTACTACCCTGGAAACCACTTCTGCAGTACCCACTTCTGCAGAATCTACTGCACTTTTTG